GGTTTTTGTTAAAAAAAAAAAAAAAAAAAAAAAAAAAAAAAATATTTATTTGTGAAGGTTGGTTGAGGGGGGGGGGGGGGGGGGGGGGGGGGACTGAAAACTGAACAGCGTGCCAAAGCCGACAAGCAATCTGAGAGGAATGTGTGAATAAAAAAATATAATTGAAAATATGGTTAATGTACAATGACATATATGGGAATGTAGAGAAACATGGATGGAAACAAATTATTTATAAAATGGTTTATTCATCTTCAATAAACATGTTACTACAATTGGAATTTCATATTGTCTTGTGTTCACAACTCATACTGATCAACCTGAACAATCAGAGAAAAAAAATAAATTTGATCTACTTCGTTTGCCTATGTCATATAGCATCTGGTGGTATATGATGTTCTCATATATATATAAATATATAAAATCTAAATAAAATATCTGAGTGATACTAAGTATTCAATCTAGTTGGTTATATCAATGGTATTCAGAGTTCCACTCTGACCACAACTCTTAAGCTTCTGCAATGCGTTGAACGCTGCAAGTTCTTTCTTTTCTTTTCTGTTATTCCTTTGTTCATATGATAATCTATAATATATTTGTTTTCTTATATAAGAATATAATATAAGATTATCTTTACCTATTCTTTATTATCCTATTAATAATCGTTTCTGTTGTTACGTCACTGTGTGATTCCACTTCTGTGTAAATGCCTCAAAACAAAGCATTATGTCTTTAAGATAAATATTAGTTAATGCTCACCAAGTCTGATTGGATCATCAAATTGATCAGGAAAAACATCTGCATTATCATGGGATCTAGTACCTTCCGCTACAACCTGAACAATCAACATACATCTAACAGCTGATAGATGGAACGCTTACTGAAATATTGAAACGTCTGATGAAATCTTCTGTTATGATGGGAGGAGCTCCAATTATTACTTCATTCACAGGCTGAAATCATAATCATTGAAAGTTAAGTAAAGTTTCCATACTCGGTGAGCTAAGACGTTGAGAACTCTTTCGTGAAGAGCCATAATAGGATAGTTTGATCCTTTATATTTATTAATATCTTGATCACTTAAGATTCCGACAATCAAATAGTCCCCAAGCTTAGCAGCTTCTTCCAAGAAGCTTAGATGACCAATGTTGAATAAATCAAAAGACCCACAACAATATACAATCTGAAACCCACAATGATACCATAAATCAATCACTCATATGACTCACTCTATCAGATGGCTTTGGTGGCTTGCCTTCTGCAAACTCGAAAATGGCTTGAGTGGTTGGAATGAATTGAGAAACTCTTGTCCACGGGGATTGAGTCTGACCATCCTAACAACATTACTAATTGTTTCGAAAATAATTTAAAAACAGCGTACGGTGCTAAGAGACAGAGTTCTTTCACTGTGTTGCTCCATTGACTCGTTGGAAACATGATGAGCTTTGGTCATAAGAAGAATTCTACCAACCATATCCTATAATTCTTTCTCTTTTCAAGAATATTTAACGAAGTCACTCACAGTTGTTGACACACCAGTTGTTCTTTTACATTCACGATATCGTTTAGCTGCCTTAACGGCTCCATAAGTGTCTTTTCCATCAGCAGTCAGGGTAATATCATCTAAAAACTATAGTCATGGGGAACGAAAACTATTTTCAGACAAAACCTCCATGAACACAGAAATCACAGTTGTATTTATCCAATGTTTCAACTGTGGTACAGTAAGGAGCATCTCTTACAATCTGGTCAATTATACTTCAATAAGCTAATTCAAAAACAAAATGATATTACTTCGTCAACCCATTTAAGTGAAGCAACAAGTCGATAACGTTCTTCTTCTTCGAAAAGAATAGGTCCTTTGTTCTTGATAATCTAACAATGCTCATTCAATTCATCGTATCTACTCTGATACTTACCTCTTCATCACTATGAACTCCGACTATCAGATACTTTCCAAACTGTTTAGCCTGTCTAATTTGATTGGCGTGTCCATAGTGTGCTAAATCATAGCTTAAATATATAATATAGTTTAACTATAACATAAAAAATGATATTACCATCCATCAACCCATACTCTATTACCAATAGGTAGTCCATCAGGTGCTAATACAGTATTAGACATTGTCTGAAAAGATTATTTGAGAAAAAAAATATCGAAACGTAAATGAAACAATGTTTAAAATGTCTGAAAATGTAAACTTTATCATTTCAAACTGATAATCACAATCAATTTTGGAATCAGGAGAGAAAGAGAGAGAGAGAGAGGGAGAGAGAGAAGATGTCATTCAGTAAGCTTTTCCTGAATGTGAAATGAAATGATTCTATTCAAACTTATTTTATAATCTTATAAGAAATGTTATCTCTATCTTAACAATATTCACAAATTCCATCAATCACTATGAGCTTATTATCAATTTAATCTTAAAAAGAAGTTTAACGGTATTTCATAAATCAATCAAAATACATTTTTGTAATTTCATGTTAATATGAAGAGAGATGAACAAGAAAATGACAATAACATTGTTTTTTCCCATCAGCAAATGTGTGGAGCAAAAAAAAGGCGGGAAAAAAACCATTTGACATTGATATGTGAGAGTAGGAAGAGGAGAAAAGAGACGATATTCAAAAAATCCATAAACAAATAGATTTTTGTAATATAATTGAATGTTCTATGTTTTTTTATGTAAAGAAATTTTTTTAAGCATGTACTTCTACTTTGTGAGAGAGAAAGAGAGAGAGAATGCTATCAATTCTCTATCTACTTTGAGCATGTTCCCTTTACTTTTATATTACTTGCCCTATACTATGTTGTTGAAACATTTATAACTTATACAATGTTTTAAGAATCAATATGTTCAAGTATAAGATTCAATGTAAAGTTTGAACATCTTAAAAGGGCCAATATACGATTACAGCTGTTTGCATCATTTTGCGAATAAGGCAAGCTATCTGACTACAACTGAGTTTTTTTTTAAGATTTTCAGAAACTCATAAAAAAAGGAATAGACTGAGAGGCACAGAGAGAGAGAGAGAGAGAGAGAGAAAGAGAGGAAAAGAAAAAATATATATAACGAATAACAATAAGAATGCAGTGGCAAGAGAGTATGACAGCGAGCTTAAATAAAACAAAAAGAGCTGTTGGTGTTGGACTGCACAGCTGCATCTTAAGTGAAACAGAGATGTTCTAGAAATAAATCAAGAGCATGACGACAGAAGAGGGCAATTTTGCTATTTCTTCACAACCTTTTTTTATAGTTTGCCTGATGAAATCTTGTCCTCAAAATGTAAATAGCTTTTATGTTTTTTTTTCTTTTCATCCCTTATACTCTCTCTCTCATTTTTCTTTTCTCACTCATATTGGCAAAAATGACGAATATGAGAGAGAGAGAGAAGGGAAAGTGGTTGTGAATGAGAGAGAAAGAGAGAAAATGCCGAAAAAAAAGTTCAAATTATTCATGGTGAATTGTCTGTTGCGAATACACACATACGACTCATGTGACAAACAGAATGAGCAAAATACTTCTTTGGAAAAGCACAAAGTGCAATAATATGCTTCTTATCTGTCTATTTTTGAATATAAAAAAAGAAATATATATATATGAATAAACATATATAATATTGATTATAATTGATATGAAACATTCATAGTTAATGCGGGTGTAGACGAGGAGAGGAGATGAGGATCAAAATAAACACAAAGAAGATCACAAATGAAACCATATGGCGTGATGATGTGTTGATCAAAGAACACACAAAGTCTGTTTCAATCCAATCGTTAATCTCATAATTACAAATGAACTTTCTTTTCATTTCACTTAGTCAGAAGAAAATGAAAAATGATGTATTCGTTGTGAATATTGGTTTGTTAAACAAATGTTTTAAAAAAAAAAAAGAAAAAGAAAATGAGTGGAATTTTATATTTTTCAACAAACTAGTTTATACAATAGGGCTTGAAGATGGTTTTTTCTTTTCTTTCTTTTGCTTCCTTCTTTTCTATTTTATTGAATTCTCATTCTGTCCTGTTTCAGTATAGTTTTTCATTTCAGCATGATTGTATAAGATTACATGTAGATAGATGCGTTCCATTCATATTTCAAATAATATTTATATATATTTATAAATATATAATCACAGTATATAAAATAATAATTGATGATTATAATTATTTAATTGAATTAAGAACAGCTGAATATATGTTTGGTTGACCTAATGGCTTTGTTGGTAATGTTATATTCATGGCTTGACTATTATCATATAATGATGGAGCTTCTAGGATTATAAACATTGTTCCAACATTTAAAACAGAAAATATAATTAAGAATAGTCGATCCAATACCATTGCAACAAATTTCCAATCATCTGAGACCTGAAAATGAATTGAATAAGTTGTTTCATCTTCTTCTTCATCTTCTTCTTATTCTTTGAATGACTATACCTCTCCTTCTATTTCATTGTGCTTGAAGTGTTCAGCTATGAAACGAACTTGTTGAAGCAAATTAACAAATACTACATCATGCATGTACTTTGTTTGCTTAAATAGATAAAATACTATATTATTATTTCTTGTATTGTACCTTTGTTTTCTTGCTTTTCTTGAATGCAACTGTTGGTGCGGAGCAATAATTTCCGGAATAAAAGTGATTTAGAACCTGTAACAATCACTTTATAACGTTGTTATTCGTTTAGTTTTTTACTTTCTTTGAAACGAAAGCCTTTGTTTCAGATGATTTTTGATTTTTGTCGTTATCTAGATGTACTTTCTCCTTAAACATTAGAGAATTAATTCAGGAGAACAATCGACCTTACCGTATCAGATGGATTTTTTCTCACAGAAAGCTCAAACAACTTCCATTGATGGGGTTGTTGATCCTTTTCAGGTTTTTCTGGACGTTTCATCATGAGAACTCTTAAAATGTAACGAAATACTTATTTTTCAAATAGTTTGCTTACTTAGGAAGAAATTTCAGAAACACTAACTGAATCCATGGAGACATATTGTGTGCTGATCCCGATCTGAACCGGAAATTGACTGTAACAACAGATACTACAGTTGACAGAGCAACGAGTATCATAGTTGTAATAAGATAACGTCCAAACATTGGAATAACGAGAGATGTTGGAGGCATTAGGTCAATTAAAACCTTAAAGTATTTGTATTTGTATCAAAAAGCTTATTTTCAGGTTTACCAAGAAGAACACAGTGAGTGTAACGAGAATACTGATAGAGAATGTAATCTTGTGATCGGATAAATAGAATACAAAAGTAGTCAAGATGGAAATGAGGAAGCACGGTATAATCAGATTACATGTGAAGAATAAAGTTTTTCTTCTGAAAACAAGGTTACAGGTTAGGTTCCTTTTATTTTCATCTTACCTCAATCCGAAGTAATAAGTAATATCCACATATTTCTCTGGACCACAACAAGACGCATAAAGAACAGAATGTCGTTCAGATGTTAATGACAATAGATCCCATTCAGCCGATCTTAACTCAAATTGTGCTATTGTTCTCTAGGGTTATTCAACCTATAGAAGAAGCTTAGGTCCATCCCTCTTTCCATGAATTCAACTTCAGCCCCATCTTTTTGTATGACTTTAACGTCTTCTGAAAACGATTCTGTGAGTAAAGAGAAAACTCAATCAAGAAATCTATCTTATCCCAAATCTCAATATTTTTGACCTTTTGGCAATTGTTTCAAGTCCACATATCGACCAGTGTATGTCCAAGTTCCAAATTTCATAACGCAGTACTGCGAATCGTATGGGAACCATGTCACATCAATCTATATTAACATTTTACGAGAAAATTGTTTCCGGCTAATCTTTGTTTCAAGATTGCCACTGCTTACTGGACAAAATGATTTATAGATTGCCGGCGGCGACCAAAATACTAATCCATTGTGTGTGACTAAGGCATCTGTCAAAATGGTTATGTCTGGATCTCCAGCAGCGCTATAAAATGAAACTCAGAAGAGAATTAGTTAAATGTTTCTTATGATCATTAAAAAAAAATGCCTACAAAAGACTGAATGAAAGAATTTTACAAACATACTTGTTGTAAAGTACAAGATCTGGTGTCCAAATTAGATCACTGGGTATATGCAAATACTTGATTCCACCATATTTCTTCGGGCTCCATGTCAGCTTCGCATCTGCCCATTTCTGAATGAATCGATAATGTTTTTCATTATATGTTTAGTTGAAACCATTTCTAGCCATAGATTCGTTGTTAACACTTGATTCTTTTCATCCTAAGTATAAGTGTTTATGTAGTAAATGTACTTAATTTATGTTAACTTACTACATCAATGATACGAATTAATGATGCTCCTACATCAACAGTCATAATATCAGAACTGTTTCGAACAGGCCTAGGAATCTGTAAATAAGAAAATGAATTGATCAACATAAAAATAATTAAATTACTTTATTATAATCAAATAGTAAATCTTCATATAGTTGATTTTCATAATCTTTAGCTGATTTCTTTATAACACAAATAGATATATGAAATATACATAGAAGAAGAAATCTAATCATTACAGCTTCTTTATCTGAAAGAGTTGTTTGAATCATACATGGAAATGCTAGCGTGTGCTCACAAAATAAATTCAGAAATGGGCGTAAAAGAAGGAGAAAGAGGCAAAAAGACTTTTCTAATCCTTTTTCAAATCTTCTGAAAAATAAAGGTTCTGCAATAGACGAAATTTTGTTTTTCCACTTGAAGTGATTTAAAAATGAATTTTAAATTTCAAAAAGTTAACAGTTTCAAAGTGTTCTTTCAAAGAGTTAGTTGTTTGCAGGTTTTCTGTTCAAGGATTTATCGTGGGAATCTGTTGAAGTACGAGTGAATGGGGAGAAAGAAAAATGAGTTCAATACTGAATTCTCGAAGAGCTGGATGAGTTTGAAAACAAACTGAATTTTTGCACAAACTGATAGAAACCCAAATATGGTTGAGAGAAAGTGTCAGAGAAAACATGGGCGATTCAAGCAATAGACAACACGCTTAGAGAGAAAGTATTTATCGCTTGCCTCTGCTCCAGACACTTATGGCAAACGCTGTGGTTTAGCGAATCCGCAGAAGATGATTAGCTTTCAAGCGAGAGAATATAAAAGGAAGAGGATATTCTTCAACTCGAAAGAAATAGAGAGAAAGACTTGTGTGGAGAACGATTTGAAAATGGGATAAAGAGAGGAAATTAGATAGAGAACGTGAGATACACAATAGCTTGATTGAAGAATGAATGCTAACTCTAGTAATGTTGAAGGAATGAAATCTCTAGAGAGTTATACACACACAAAGAGATAGAATATGTTCGAACGCTCAGAAATGCCTCTTGGGATCTGTTAAAATCCCTCAAAAGCGTTGATTGAAGAACAGACAGCGGTTGATACATTTTTTTGAAATTGAAATACTTTGTTTCAGAAGCATTCACATATACACTGGATGAGCAAACGCTTTCATTTTGCAAATGATATTTTGTGAAGAAGAGATAGAAATGTTTTGGGGCGAACAAATTCAAATTTAACCCATTCAAATGTTATTCTAACGTCGGTTATCTCGCAATCGATGCATTTAATTGAAAAATTTATTTGCATTCCAATCGTAATATATTCCATTCAACCCTCAGAAATGACATGAAAACAACTTAATTCATCAACATATATGGTAATGGGGAGCTTACTTAATATTTAGGAATAGACATGATGGACCATTAGGATTGCAACATTATAACCTTTCCACACGCACACGATGCTCCCATGCAAATGGTTGTCGCTCTATGTATAAAAATCTTGGAAAATGTTTCGTTGAGGTTCAGTGCCAAGACCTCCCGGAGAACCATGTTTTAAAAGTATTGAATGTTTAAGCAGCAGATAAATCAGGAGATGTTTGATAGCTGGTGAAGAAGAACGAACAGACCACAAACTTTATATAGAATTGAAAACACTACATGAGCGTAAGAAAACAGCAGGAATGACAGATACTATGCACTAATCATCCAAAGTGATATCTCTGAAGAGTTGACCC